GCACTTGATGAGGTATATTTTTTAATATATCGTTAATTTAATATATTATTTTAGGGATATACCGTCACTAAATTGTTCCGTGTACTTGAGTACACGTCATCCGACAACACACTATTTCGCTCTTACATCGCCGAATTTATGGCCCAAAAAATCCACGCTTCCGGCTTTGACAACTCAATTAAAGGCAAAACTGAAGCTGAGAACAACTTCATCAAAGAATGTGCTGAAATGTTCAATATTAATATCGAGCGAGAAAAAATGGTAAAATATATTTCTATAAAAAATTTTTAATTTGAAATATTTAGATCCCGAATAAAGGGAAAAGGACGCAGGCAAAATTATGTCTCAATAACCTTTGTAAGTTATTAAATAAGTTTAAAATATTATCTATTTATTTTAGGGGGCAGATTTTCCCTGAGAAATTTTGGACTTTCACAGTGCACTGTGACCGATGATCCAGCCAAGGTTAGGAATTTGATGGATGACGTAAGCAAAGAAGTGACTGGATTGGATGAACTAACTCAGGATGTTGTACTTATCAGTCATCTAACAAAGAAGGATTGGATTGAGGAGCATGACTGCTCCAACGTTGGTAAGTTCCAAATTTTAATTCTAATTTTTGAATAAAATTTTTTTTAGTAATCTCCTTGTGGACGACGTCCTGTGCACGTCTCCATTTGCTGAAAGCAATGCAAAAGGTGGTTCGGACTCCCGGGTGTACTCTTCTCTACACCGGTAAATAGAAATTTTTCAAAATTGTAAATAAATTAAATTTTAGACACGGATTCTTTGATTTTCGCTCACCCAAAAGAATCCTGCCCACTTCAACTAGGGCCACATCTGGGTCAGTTCACCGATGAGTACCCAAGACATCGCATTATTGAGTATTGCTCAGGTGGGGCCAAGCAATATGGGCTTAAATTACAACGTAAGGACCAGATGGATGCAGCACCGGAATATGTTCTCAAGATCCGTGGAATCACTCTTAACTGGGACGTTGTTACAAATCAAGGAATGCAGTATGAAAATTTTAAAGAAAAAGTTTTAAATTTTGCTACTGAGGAATGTTCCCCCATAAATATCTTGTACCCAAATTTTCTTAGGCCGACTGTTAAACGAGGTTCTGTACTGACTCAACCTATGAAAAAAAATTATGCTCCTTTTGTCGGCAAGGGTGTTTTACGCCCGAGCGACTTTTCTGTACTCGATTATGGTTTCAATTCTAATTAATTATTGTATCTATTTTTCTCTTTTATTTTGTAACTTTTTAATTTCATATAGTTAATATTTATTTATTTCAATAAAATTTATTATGCAAAATTAGTGTGAAGAAGTAATTAATTTTAGGGGTAAAAATGCGGAATTAAGAGAAAGAAGATAACATTTTAAAATTACAAAAAAAAATAAGTGCAAAATTAACAATTAGAATAGTCATTTTTAGGGGTAAAAATGCAGAATTAAGAAGACGAAGATAACATTTTAAAATTTAAAAAATCTCATTACATAATTAACAGTTAGAAGTAGTCATTTTTAGGGGTAAAAATGCAGAATTAAGCAAATGAAGATGAAAATTAGAAATTTTATAAAATTAACAATGAAGTTTATGTGCGCACGTGTGGTCTATATATTCACGTGTGCACGCACTACACATGTGCACACACGTGTGCACAAACTATATTCGTAATTAACAATTAGAAGTAGTCATTTTTAGGGGTAAAAATGCAGAATTAAGCAAATGAATATGAAAATTAGAAATTTTATAAAATTAACAATGAAGTTTATGTGCGCACGTGTGGTCTGCATATACACGTGTGCATACTTACACATGTGCACACACGTGTGCACAAACTAAATTCATAATTATCAATTAGAAGTAGTCATTTTTAGGGGTAAAAATGCAGAATTAAGAAGACGAAGACGAAATTTGAAAATTTCATAAAAATTACAATTAAGTTTATGTGCGCACGTGTGGTCTGCATATACACGTGTGCACACTACACATGTGCACACACGTGTGCACAAACTAAATTCATAATTATCAATTAGAAGTAGTCATTTTTAGGGGTAAAAATGCAGAATTAAGCAAATGAAGATGAAATTTGGAAAATTTCATAAAGATTAACTAATATGTATGCAGCACGCACATGTTCACCAACCTTCCATCTCATCCAGCATATCAAATTCTAATGGTTCATCATTTTTGTCGGAATCAGAATTTGCCTTGTCAATTCTGAGTTTATCAGAAACATCCACATACAATGGTTTATCATTTTCCAGGACTGGGAAGCTAATATAATCCTCTTCTTTATCATCAACTAATTCAAGTAATTCAATCGGGTAGTAACGGTCCTCACAACGCCGTGGAAACTTCTCAACCACGCATTGAAGATACGGATAACGTAAACGAATCCTGTGTCGTGAATAGTAGTGAGCCGTGACGGAGACGTTATATGGACGAGAGAGTGCCCCATAAGCCATTAGAGTATGTGCTCCTTAATGTAATTTTAATGTACGTGGAAAATAATTAGGAACCTTTATGAGTAAAACCGTGAAACGTGAAAGTTTTGCGAAAGTCGTTACGGTCCGAATAGAGGGTTCGGACAGCCCTTCCTTTGAGCTTTGAATGTAGAAGGGCACGTTTTGCCGGATGATTTAAATGGTCTCGAAGAGACTTTGGGTGGCAATTTAGTATTTCAGCACACTCATCGATTAAATGACGCATTTTGGAGTTAAGAAATTAATGAATGAAAATTTTTTAAAAAAATTTTTTGGCTTTTATACTCGCCCAAATTTTTACTAATTCTTAATATTTAAAAATATTAATTAAAAATTATACGGTCCCTCGATTATACAAAATATTTTAAATGAAAGATGTTTAAAAATTAAGACTTAAACAATTCGAATGACCTTGAGAATTCTTCATTTCATAAAATTTTATTTTAATTTTGAACGACAGATGTTTAATTTTTGAATATTATTATTCTGTAAACAATTCGAATGACCTTGAGAATTCTTCATTTCATAAAATTTTATTTTAATTTTGAACGACAGATGTTTAATTTTTGAATATTATTATTCTGTAAACAATTCGAATGACCTTGAGAATTCATTCATGGTTTTGGGGTATTTTGGTTAATAACATGGGAACCAAAAAAGATAAACAAATCCGGTTTTTTGCATCTGATAGAGTAAAGAATTCTCTAGAAAATGACCGGTCAATTTTTTAGATTAAGCCCTAGAAAAATTTTTATGACGTTTTACAAAAGTACCTTATTTTTCCAAAAATCTCAATTTTTCCTATGAAAAAAAAAGTTATGCAAAGGAAGTTAACCCCAAAATATCAACACCCCTGAGAACACCCAACCAATTACGTAACTCCGAAATAAAATTTTCTACTTACCCCTCCCCCAGACCAATTAGTCAATTAGTTCCCCTCGCCCCTTCTCGTCAGACTCGGCGGCATTTCTCTTTGATCATCAATCAAAGGAGTGGCGGCTTTCTTTGATACGGTGGACCCTTCCCGCCCCCTCCCCACACCAATTAGTAAAACAAATTGGTTTCCCCCTTGCCACCTCCCCGACCAATTTGTCAAGCAATTAGCACCTGTCGGTCATAAAAATGTCACCCGACCCCTCCCCAGACCAATTTGTAAAACAAATTGATTTCACCCTTCCCCCTCCCCCAAATCAATTAGTCAACTAATTGATTTCCACTTACACCCAACCCCTAAACCAATTAGTCAATCAATTAACACCTCTTGGTAATAAAATTTTCATTGCCCCTCCCCCAGACCAATTAATCAATCAATCAACTAATTGATTTCCTCTTACACCCAACCCCCAAAACCATTTGTAAAACAAATTGGTTTTACCTTACACCCAACCCCCAAACCAATTAGTACTAATTAATTCCCCTGACCCCCTCCCCCATCGCGCGCCAAATCCGTCAATAGGTTCGCATTAATAGGGGTTGACCCCTCCCCTTGAAATTATTTATGAGGTACAAATTGGTTCGGACCCCTCCCCCGATTAATAATTTATTACCCTGGCGGTAAGATCAAAGAGGATCATCAAAAAGATCAAAAGAAAAAGCCGACAAAACCCCCTCATACCCTTTGGTTTTTTGTCGGACCCCTCCCCCAGACCCCTCCCCCGACACCCCTCCTATAGATTGGCGGCATTTCCCTTTGATACGGTCCGGGTGGGGTAACTACTCATATTCCCCAAAGAAAGGACAACGTTGACTTTTAACAAATAAAAAAAGAAAAATTAAAAATAAAAAAGAATAAGGCATTTTTAAATTAAAATTAAGAATAATCTCTCTTTGATTATTTATTTAATTAGTAATTTTATTTGAATGAAGTTGATCGATTTAAAAAAGATAAACGGGTCAGTAAATGAGATAAAAATAAAAAATATATATAGTTTCAAAATAAATTAGCACAAATACATATATTTTTAAAGGTAAAATAGTTTAGAAGCAAAATTTAAGTAAAAAATTAAAACAAAAATTTTTATTTATTAACTCGGGGCATTAAATCCAAATACCCCTGTGAAGTTAAAAAAAAGTTTCTAAGAAAGGTGACACACAAACGAGTTTGTACGAAACGACAGATTTTTCTGCACGAAACTGCCGTAAAAGTATGTACTAAAGCCCAACTTAAGCAATTTGTTTAAACAATATTTTTTAGAATTTATTTTTATTAAATTTAGAAAAATATTTAAAAATTAATATAAAAATGAGATTTTTATTTAAAAAATTATTTAATTAATCTGTTGCTTGTTTTAAAAATGTGGTTAAAGGGGTTGCATCTATTCCAACATTAAAATTTTCTTCTTCCTCATTATCTTCATTATTTAAAGCTATAAAGAAACAAATAATATTTTTAAAAATTAAAATTTTATTTTTCAAAAGGAAGGGAAGATTGGGATTTTTGTAAATAAAAACTAGTCCAACAAAAATTTAAATTTTTAGAGTTTTCCTTGTCCTCCTCCCTTTCTTTACCCATAATAGTTAAGAATATTTATTTTAAATATAAAAGCACCTTGTAAATTTAAATTATTAAAATGTTTATGTGAAGGTGCATATAAAGCTAATAATAACAAAACATATAAATTCCACTGTCCAAAAATTCCAATTAAAAAAGCACTTGCTGAGATTGAAATTAATTTTTTTAAAAATGTTTGATTTAAATAATAATTATTTTCTCCCTCCTCTTTATTTTCAATTAATTCAAATTCTTCTGGTTCAAAAAAATTAAAATTTTCTTCATTTTGTCTTTGCATTAAATATGCAAAAATTGTTGTAAATGCACAAAAAATAGTTAAAATCATCAAAAATTTAAAACGATAAATTACATTTTCTACACGAAAACGACGGGATTCACTTTAAAAATTATTTAGTAAATATTTTTCTTTAGAATTTTTAAACCTTAAATTATATAATTGTGCTTCACGTTTAGATCTATAAAATATTTTAAACGAATGTGTTATGTAATTAGGTAAATATTTATTTTAAAAATTAATATTTAAGAAGAAAAAATAATGAAATAATTTTTTAATTAAAATAAAACTAAAACTTTTATTTTTTTATTTTAATTTTTTATTTTTCTTGGTTTTGATAAATTAAAATATATTTTTTTTAAATTAATTACCTAATTCCAATCCAAACTTTATAAACTTTAAAACAAAGAAAAACAAAATAAATAAAAATTGACAAAATTCCAAGAAAAATAGAAACAAAAGCAATATTTGGATAACCATCTTCTGATGACCATATTGAATGAAATGGATTAGATAATTGACGGCCTCTTTCACAAATATCAAAAATAAGTAATGAAAAACATGAAATTAATACTAGAGACAAATTACGCCAATAATTAAACTAAGAAAATTAATTAATTTTTTTCCCAATTAATTTACCAACCAAATTATTTCTTGCTGGATCATCAATTAAATGTTCCCCACAAAATATTAACCAAAAAGAAAAAAGAATTGCATAAAATAATCCTTGTCTAATATCGCTAATTAATAAAATAGCGGGCAAATTTATCCAAAGAGATAACCATTCTATTGGAACTTTAATAAATGATTTTAATGAAATTATTTAATTTTTAAATTTAACATTTGCCTTCCACTCCCCCTCATTTAAAATATTAATTCAAATAATTATTTTTTAAAAACTTCCAAAATACATAATATTCCCAAATATCCCTTCCAATTCTTTAAAATTAAAAATTTACAATCAAGAATAAGCAAAGAAACCCCCAAAACAGCAATTGCCTTTTCAACTAAAACAGCATTTCTAGGCAAACATTTAATTCTTTTCCAATACCAACGAAGAATTACAAAAACCAAAGGAAATAAAATTGTTTTTAAAAATAGCCAAACAAGAGTAAACCCCCCATTTTGATGAATTATCTTTTTATTTAAATTATTTTTTAATTTCAACAACAACAAAAAACCCTTACAATTAATCTAAGTTCACGTAAAGGGCCTGGAAATGCACAATTAGGGCCTTTAAAATGTTTAGAAAAGCAAAGGCTTTGATTGGCTGGGATTCGAATATTTAAAAGATAAAATGGATGTTGAACAGAGCTTAACTAAATATTTTTTAAAATTGAAAAAAATATTTATTTTTTTAATTTAAATGCCTGAAAAAAATCAACAAGTGAACAATTGAAAGATAAACCGGGATGTTGCTAAAAGAAATAATAATTTTTAACAAAAATTTAATTTTTTTATTTCTCACATTTTCATCAATTAGGCATTCTGTAGTTCTCCTTATTCTCTGAACAGGTAATAATTCTTTCCAATTTTCAGGCCTACCCTCTCCCTTTTCTTTATAACCTATTCTCACTTCAAATTCCATTAAAACAGATTTTTCTTTAAATATTTTTATTTTTCTTCTTCGAAAAAAAATATTTAAAGTACTAACCAACAGGTTTAGTTTCTGGTGTAAATTCAAAATCAACATCTAAATATCCCAACAAAAATTGAAAAAGAGGAGAGTATTCTAATTGTATTCCATCTCTCATATGTGGCATTTGTGCCTATTTTTGATAATTTAATTTTTGAAAAATTAAATTAATTAATTACCACAAATACTAAATCACGGGCATCTTCTGTTGTCGGATTATGATGCCTCAAGTCATGAATAATTTCACAATTCTTTTAAAAAAATATTTAAATAATAGCTTAATTTAAATTATTTAAAAAGCTCTAAGATTTTTTCCTAAAACATTTTTGTATTTTTGATTAAACATTAATTTTAATTTAAAATTTTTTCCTCTTTTACCCCTCTATCTGGCCGTAAATAGAACCATTTATTGGTTTTACCAGCATCTTTATCTTTACAAGCACTAAGCAAAAATTCCATAGAAGAAGAAGGACCGGGGGCTTAAAATTAAAAATTAATTTAAAAAATATTTAAAACCAAAAATTGCTCCCAACAAAAAGAAAAGACATTGAAGAAAAAATAATGCTGCTAATAAACAAAATAATTTTTTATTTGACAAATTCTCGAGAACGTAACCAATCATTGTTTTTTAATTTAAAAATATTTAAACATGTTACATATTTTTGTTGTTTTTTTAATTAAAAAATTATTTTTCTAAATTTTCTCAAAATAAAAAAGGAGTAAAAAATCAATTTTAAAAAATCCTAATAAATTGCTGAAGATTTTTATTAAGAATTGTGACATATGTGAATGTAATAAAATAAAATGATAGGAATTGAATACTTTTTTTATTACCCGAAATGGGTAAAATACTACATAGACTGCTCATTTTTATTACCGGCCATTCTTCCCTTGGATTGTTGTGAAAATACTAAAGATGCTCACAGCTTGAGAAAATGTCCAAAAATTATTTTTTATGTTCAAAATAATAAAGAAATTTTGTTTTTTAAGAAGTTTTAATTTCAAAATGAAAACTTTAAACAAAAAATATACCTATACTAGAATAAAAGTAACATGTCCAGAAAAATAATTAATTATTAACAATTCTTCCTTTCCTAGTTGGCTTTTCCAAAGCAAAAAATATTAGCTTAAAGTTAATAAAATCAATATTTTGTAGTAAATATATTTTTAATTTATTGTGCAAAAATAAAAAGATTTTTAAATTAAATTATTATTCTGTTTTAAAGGCCCATCTTAAATCATCATCTCTAGGCTTCCAACCAGTTAAAGTACTAACACAAAATTCTAATTTACGCCAGAAACCTACAGCGTCGAGTAATGGATTTAGCCAACCAGTTGTTATACTTTTAAGAGATTTAATATACATAATTAAATTGGATTAAAATTCACCAGTAGCGGCAAGCATGAGGAGAAATATGATGCATTTTATGGTGATGCCTAGGTAGAATCAGCTGGAATCTCTAAAAATATTTCTAAAAATCTTTGGTGAATTTTTGCAAATTTTTCCTAATGTTAGAAACCCGGGAAATCAAAGTGCGCTTATAGTACAGTAAAAATTGCACGCATTTTTTTTTTGAAAATTTTGAATTCACTTCAATAATTCCAAAACTTTTAATATAACCACCATGTTTCTAATTTAATGTAATATTTTTCAGCAAAATTTTATATTATTTGGTCAACTCAATCCCGAGTTATACCATTTTTCCGGGTGCGCTTATAATTTTGTGCAGCATACATATACATATTGGAAAGAATGAAATATGTGTAAAAACTTTGAAGGAGATCCTGAATAGCGGGTATAAAAGCTAGAAGATCAAAATCTCGAAATCATCCATTCTCCTATTCACTTGTTCCAGCCTACTACAATAGTCTCGTCATTTCCTATGTAAGTTACTACTTTCATTTTTTAGTCTTACAATTAATCGGTAAATTTTCACGATTTTTCAGATGGGCAAGCTCAACATCCCAAAGACAATCGGCATATGGTCTGTTCAAGCCTTGATTGGCACTGGTGCGTTTGGCAGCGTATTCCTGGTCAGGACTGAAGTGAAGGGCAGCAAGAGGTTTGGATATGCGGCAATGAAGGTGGAGAAACGCAGAAAGCACCGAGAGGAAGAAGTTCTTCGGATGGAAGTATGGGTCCTGAAGAAGCTTCAAGGCATCCCTTCTTTCTGTACAATCTACAATTTGGGACAGACTGCGGAATTCACGTATAAAACAATACTTGTTTTTTAAACATGTTTAACTGTTCATTTTTTCAGCTACGTTGTGATGACCTTGCTCGGAAAGCCGATTGACGACCTACGCCGGATGCAGCCAAAGCGCAAGTTCTCGACAGTCACAACTCTTCGGATCGGCATCCAGCTTATGAAGGTGAGAAGGAATTCTCATAGAAAGATCCTAAAGAAATAAAGGTATTTTACAGGCATTTGGCGCACTTCATCGAGCAGGCTTCATTCATCGTGACGTAAAGCCGGCAAATATCGCTGCAGGTCACAAGCGAGCGGATGTCATCTACTTGTTTGACTTTGGGTTGGCGCGCCTCATCTACACTGATGAGAACATGACAACGTTGAGGCCGCGCCGTAAGAAGGTGAAATAAGTGATGGTAAAAACAGTATTAAGCCTTGATTTTTAAGGTCGCGTTTCGTGGAACCTACCGCTACTGCTCGTTGAACGCTCAAAAGTGCATAGATCAAGGTCGAGTGGATGACATCTGGAGCGTTATGGTATGTTAAACTTTTTTGCCCTTCTAATGCTTAACTATAAAGAAATTTTTTACAGTACACGCTGATCGAATGCAAAAAGCGGAAGTTGCCGTGGACTGGGATCAAACCAAGACAGTGCCAGACTTTGAAGGAGAGCATTACGAGTGCCGAGCTGCTTGAGGTAAATTGTTTGGCTAAAAGTTAAACAAAAATTTTGTTTGCCATTAAAGGGTTGTCCACCTTCCTTCGCACGTATCATCGAGCACTTGACCCCGCTTGGATTTGTTGATGAGCCCAACTACGATTCTCTCGTCCAATGGCTTAATGAAGACCTACAGGCAGACCCAGATGCAAATAACGTTTTTGATTGGCAGCGAGGAAGTTCAGCGAGCTTCAGACGAATGTCCGCTGATGTGACTGGAAGTGATCCTGAGGCGAGTTTCTCATTGATGTTTGTGTATAAAACCAAAACTCTTAAAAAATTTTCAGGTGAGGTCTGAAACTGTTCAAACAGAAGAAAGTCTGTTTACAACATTGGCTGTGTCAGACGAAGAAGATGGGAGCACTGTGGAATATGACGATACAATCGAGAACATGCCATCTGACAAAAAAATCATGAACATAGAATCTGTGAAGGAAAAGCAAAAGAAGGGAGCTGCAGAAAAAGAAATGACGACCAATCCCCCAGAAGATAAAAAGAAGTAAATATAGATGTAGTGATATTAGGATTGTGATTATGTACATATATATTAAATGTAAATTGTATATATGTAGTAATTGTCTTATATTGTTTGTAATGTTAAATATGTATGTGGTGTTTTTGATTAAGATTTTCATAGGATGAAAGTTTTAAAACCCATTTTTAAATTAGTAAAAATAAACACCTGTAATGCCAAAACCCAAGTAGGAAGTCCAGTATAGCTGTGCGACCATTTATGAATCTTTAATAATTATTTAATATTTTAATTCCAAATTTAATTAACTACTTGATTAGTCATTGCGATATAAACGCCGAAAAGAAACCAAAACCAATGCCAAGCTAATACTTCTTCTAATTCTCCTTTTTCATTAGGAAGTGAAGTACAATGTTGCCAAGCAATTTGTGTAAGTTTTGGAATACATAACATAAAATTGTCACCGTTCACTTCAATAAAGTCGTGCCTAGTAATTGCTGTTGGGTCAACATGATGTTCACGAAATGGACGAATAAAATTCTAAAAATAAGTACATAATTAAAAATTAGAAAATAAATTAAAGCTTTACCCTTCCAACGAATGTGTCCACTGTTCCCCACGTATCAGCACCTATTTAATTTTTGAACATTTAAAATCTTTATTGTACTTTCCAGGGGCGTGTCAAACAAGGAGAGGAAAATTGTCTTTTTAATTGTTAAAACTCTAAGGAAACCATTTTAAAAAATGGATTCCTCGGGACGGAAATCTCTAAAAACTAGAAAGTGGAAATAATTCCTAACTATAAAATCTTAACCTAAACACCTTAACCCCTTACAGATTTTTAACTTAGATGGTATTATAAAAATTGAAAAATTTGCTTGGGCGAATAACCTTATTGGTAAAATTTGATTTAGGTATTTTTAATAAAATTTCAATAAAAGACCCCAATGGACAAGGCCAGAACTAAAATCAGCTGCTAAAACACCAAAAATAGCTGCAAAAAAGATTTTTCCTAATTGTATATGTTGTATGTGAAGAAATAAGGAGATAAAAAGGAGTAATAAAAGAGCAGTGCCGAACCAAATACATAACAATTCTTGAACTCTTTTCCCTTAAAAATGAATTCTTTTTAGCCTATAGTGTGATAAACCTCTCCCATACATGGATGCCAATTTTTTTGCGCCAACATGATTTGGCCCCCATCGATGCCTCAAAGCAGAATTGTCAAATATTTGGGTTTCATAAGAGAATTCCATTTCTGTTTCGGTGATTTTATCAGAAATAGCAGAAAATCCATTGTCGGAAAAAGAGGAAGAAGCTTCCATCATAGGCAAAATTTATGTTATTTAGTACTTGGCAGTAGAATAATTACACTTGGTTTAAGTTTAGTGATTAAAGAAGCAATTGATTTTTAGCGATTTTTGTTAATCGATCACTCAATTATAAATTAAAGATTGAATAGTGGCCAAACCTCAATTCTTGAGTTAAATATATTTCTTGTTAAACTATTAAAAAGTTACGGACCGATATAAATAAATGATAAGAAAGGCAACAAGAGAGATTCTATGAGGGAGAAAAGATAATTAAATGGCGTGTTAATAGGTTATGATCAATTGCACGATTATTTGAAAGAAAATTCTAGTATCATATGTAGTATAGTAGGTGATTTGGAATTAAAGGAAAAATGAAAATTAAAGAAGAAATTTAATTTTTAATTATTAGGACCTATCTAAACACTAATTTTTAGTCAAATTGTTATGTTTTTCAAATGAATACTTTAATTTATGTACACACAATACTAAGGACAAGAACACCTCAACTTCGAGTGAGAAAGATAGGAAGGCTTAAGTAAAAGAAAAAGTTATGTCATAGCAACGACGAAAACCAAACGTCAAAAAATAATAGAATTTTGAGAAATTAAAAGAGTGAAAAAATCAAAATTCCTCTCAACGAGCTGAGTTCGAATATGCAGTTCGAAACTCGCAGAGACATAGGCTACCCCCCTATGGTTTTTTAATATTTGTTAGGGTCACTTCGCAATAGAAGTCGATGGTTCTCATTAAATTGGTACAAAAAAAAAAATTTTTGTACACAGTATCCAAAGTTTACTTGTCAACTCGGTAAAAGTAACCGAATGGTATATATTTCGAATCTAAGTCCCAGGTCCTACAGCCACTATAATTAAGCTTTATAACACAAAAATTACTAATAAACCCAGATTTTAATACAAAATATTATTAACAATTCACCAAATTTTTGAAGAAAGCATTTATAAATTATCCAAATTACAATTAGAAAAATCACTAATGTAGGAGTTTGGAATTTTTTTTTGCAACACTTACAATTAAAAAGCATGAAGAGAATGAATGCGAAAAAGGATGTTTTTTAATTAAAAACCGGAACCATTTAAAAAAGAATTGTCAATATATAGAAAGGAAAGAAAAAGAGAAAGAAAACCTTCAAGGTTTTGTAAATTAATTTTAAAAAATATTTAAAAATACTTCCCCAAAAATATCAATGCCAATAGGATTTGTCACAATTTTACATATCCTCATTAATTACTCATTGTTGTCCTCTAAGCTCAAATGTGTAATTTTTGTAAAGTCAAATTCTTCTGTAGTGCCTCGCTTAAAAATGTCAAGCACATCCAAACAAGTAGTCTCAAAGTGAGTCGTAGCATCAAAACTTTATATAAAAAAATTCGGATAGGATTTTATAAAAGGTGGGCCAATATAGAACAAAAGCTTTAACGTAACAGTAAAATCAGAAATTTTCATTTTAGAGAGAAACTTAGAAAAATGCCCATAAAATATAAAAAACATACGATCGAGAGATAAACACCTGTGAGCTATAACCCTGTTTGAATGAAAATAATTTTCAAAATTTAATCAAAAATTCAAATTAATTACCATATCAATTGGTTCGTAGATGTCAGAAACCGTTACGAACCTTCAAAATGTTATAGTAAATAGAATCATTAAATATTAAACAAATACTTTTCGGTAATAGCGCCCAACAATTGCAAAGCTGGCTGGATTTCAGCTTCAGGAGTTTGTGTCTCAACAGTAGTAGAGACATTAGCAATGTACCAAGTTTTAGGTGCCACTTGGTTTGAGTTTGAGACGCAAGATATATAAATATCTATAAGAATCAATCTTATGTAAAAATTGAATTTAAAACAAACCGGAGTGACGTCCAACTTGTTTTTGCGGAATAATAATTTGACAACTAGCCGCATCATTAGTATTAGCAATTGGATGATTCAACAAACAAATTGCACGGACAACCTGACCAACCTTCTTGACTCGAGTGCTGTCGACATATGACGGATCACAATATACCTAATTATTTTAGAAATATGATTCGAATAAACAAATAAACTTGTTTGCATTTGGCCACTTCATTTCCACTTCGAACTCCTATCGCTTTCCCCCCTTCAAACACAATCTCATCAACAGGTTTGTCCAACATATAAGTTCCGCCATAAATACTTGAGAGACGAGCAAAGCCTTGAGGGAGTTCTCCAAGACCATAAAGCGGATATAGATAAGGAGATTTCCCATAACGAGCCAATGAATCACTATATAAACGGATACGTGCAACAGTTTGCTCATATGGTTGAGACTTGTAATTGTCATCACGATAAAGCGCCAAAGCATGGCCAGTAAAATCAGCGGTATTATCGTCCAAACCAAACTTTTCGTAAACCTGAAATATTAATTCTCGATTTCAAATCAAATTTTAGGTTTAAATAATGATACATAATTTAGAAAAACTCACTTGTTGCATAATAGTATTATTTGGATCCATTCCTTCCCACGTCTTCGAGTCATTCTTATCAAACCCTTGCACCCATACAAGAAATTTTTTGAAGCGTCGTTTCTCAAACATTCCCATAAGACCTAAAATTGTAATAAAAAAAATCGGCTTTATATGTTCAAAATATTTTTCCATTTTTTCCTTCCAAAAATATAAAAGTATTTGGCTAGACTTCGGCTCATGAACACAACCAAACTCATGTTTTTCTTGTTTAAAAAGATGTGAAAAGGTAAAATATCAGTATAGAAGTACTCAAAATGGTCCTCTATTGAGTTTTTCCCGGAATTTCAGACCCCTGAAAATCCGGGAACCATAGGGGGGACCAAGCTGATTTTTGTGGTAAAAAATTCGAATATACAAATTATACCTCATTCGAAAGAGCTCGTCAAGCTGAATCGAATGACACCAAAATCAACGAAATCTGACGTCATTGGACAAAGTTATGACCGTTTGTTTTTACCCCTTCCACAAGGTTTTCGCGGAAAAAAGTTTTTGCCGCTGCGGAGGAAGCCGGGCATGTCGAGCGGAACGACGGCCGCCGCTTCGCTACGGTCGCCGCGAGCGCAGCGAGCACGACCGCAGCGAAGCACGGCCATCGTGTAGCGAAGACCATGCCCGGCCTACCCTCCGTAGCAGCACAAAAACAGTTTTTCCAGCGAAGGTTCTGTTGGTCATAACTTTGTCAAAAATCGTCCAATCGAGCTGATTTTGGTGTCATTCAACTCAGCTCGACGAGCTCTTTCGAATGAGCTATTATTTACATATTCGACATTTTGACCCCAAAAATCAGCTTGGTCCCCCCTATGGTTCCCGGATTTTCAGGGGTCTGAAAATCCGGGAAAAATGCAAAAGTGGACCATTTTGAGTACTTTTATATTGATATTTTACCTTTTTACAACTTTTTAGACAAGAAAAACATGAGTTCCGTTGTGTTCATGAGCCGAAGTCTTACCAAGTATTTTACTAGTAAAGGACTTATTCACATGTAAAATAAGTAGAATGAAAATTACAAATAACTAACAATAAGAAAAGTAAAAAACTGGTTCATGGCCAGAGTTTATGGGCCTAGTACCCCGAAAACTGGATATACTTAAATCCAGTTTCCTATATTCATTTAAAAAGGAAAAACTTATTTTTGGAAGAAAAAATGATCATTAGACATATTAAGACAGAAATTTACTTGTAGACAGAGCCTCCATTTCATCAGCAGGCACCTTGTAAATCTTTCCTCCCTTGTAGACATAAGAGCCCTCTATCGATTTAAACTCTAAGTAGCGAGTAACTCCAGTATGAATAAGAAGTTTAACCTGAGATTTCAAGTTATTTAGACTAAAAACATTGAATGCAAACCAATTGTCCATTTGCCATAAGAAACTTTGGAATCAAGTCAACATTCCAATCGCGACCTCTACCCATCTCTTCAGGAGCCTTGGCGGTGGCACCTTTATTTAGAATTTATAAAGGCATTCAAATCACTCGATACCTCGAAACTTCTGGTAGAGTTCGTCCAACGGGGTCAACGAAGCAGATTCGGCACCATAGTAATTATTTCGGTCTATATGCAAGACCTTCTTTCCGGAAACAGAAAGCATCCCAGAAAGGATGCACTCCTAGAAATGAAAGGATAACATTTAACAAGTAAATAAATTAAACCTTAAGTCCCGTTCCAAGAACAATTGCATCATATTCTTCATCCATTTTTCAATAATGTAGGAAAACAATTAATTTGTATGAATTTCTAAGAAAATTGATATTATAAATTTGTTAATATACTCAAATAATGAATGAATTCATTACATGTAAATACTGTGAAAAACAATGATTTAATAATTTATCAAGAAAAATCTAAAGCTAATGTGGCTTTGTAAATGCAACCAATCCATAATTAATTCCTGTGAAATCAGTCCAAGTCCAATGATCAGTCAATGGATTATAGAACATGCCACGCGTATGTCCAAGTCGACAATGCTCATCAACAAGCAATCTTCGAAGATCCTCAGGTCTAACAAACTTTTCGTATTCATGAAGTCCTTTTGGTAAAAGTCGCAAAATATCCTAACATTTGGAATACATAAACTACTAAAAAATTTAAAAACCTCTGCAACGAGTATAGCAAATACCCAACTACATAATGTTTTATTTATTGTAGTAAAGAATATTGGAGAATTAGGTTTTGCTAGTTTGCAACAAGTTTTAACAAAAAGATTAAGATCTGCAACATGCTCTGCAACTTCTGAGGCAACCACTGCGTCAAAAACTAAACATTTTTATTTAAAATTAATTCCATTTATATTTTAACCATGATGATTGTCTTCATTTAAAGCAAAATTTTCAATCGTATCAGACACAAATTTTGTATTTGATCGAAGTTCTGGGGAGAGAGTGAAACTCGATTTTTGAGCTAAATTAATTGCACTCTGAACTTCATCAATTCCAATAACTTCTGCACCTAATCGACCAAGTGCAAGAGAGAGAATTCCTGGACCACATCCAACATCAAGTATTCTATTGCCTTCAAGGGGACGATCAGGCCTGACTAGAGTATTCTTTACTTAATTAATTAAAAGTTAACATAATATAAAATAAAAACCTTCATGATGAAAGATGAGATCCACGGAACTCTAAGCCTATTCATTGATTGCAACGCCTTAAGAGGATCACTACGGCTCCGATCATAGATGTGGACAAATTGTGAATTAAACACTTTAGTAAAAATACTTTGGGACATGAGTACTATCTAAAATTATATTTTTAAGAAAACAGATCTATTAGTAATTAGAAAATATACTGAATTTCTAAGCTCGGCAAGGAATTATAACTATATTCGCCACAAAACGCACCTCTACAGTTAACACTTAAAGTTAGAAAAAGGTAGAACGAAAGTCGCAATTCAACAGGCATCCAGTTAGCGTATAGCTGGGCTAGGATTCATTCAATAAATTTTAAAAGCATACCCGAAAAGGAACGAAAAGACTACAACCTATTTTCGCCGCTAACATGTCTACGCATGCACCCATTTTTGGCTTTACATAAAATATTTAAAAAGCGGATATTTAAAAATTGAATTAAAAATCATAAAAAATGTTAAAAAATAAATTTGGATTTTACACCAAATTTTCTGTAAATTTAACGGAAACAAATAAAATTTTATACAAAAATGTGTAGTGTTTCTAAAACCGAGTTAAAATTTCTGCTACAAATATGAGATTCAATTTTGGCGATAACAAAAATTGGAGGTTTTTATTTTTTCCATTATTGCACGACCCTGAATAATATCAACGACTTCTTTGGTTTTATCTCATACGATTTATGAGTGATATTTTCAATTGCCGACCTCCAATGCCAAAATTGACCGCTTGGCTTGTTACCTGGATCACCATAAAGTCCATTAAGTGAAGTGTAGGCGCACCCGCCATGCCACCACGCACTATAATAAATTTATAAATAAAAATTTAAAGTCGTTAAATGTACCCTCGTCGACGAAATTTAGCACAATTCTCATATTTATTCTCATCGTTGTCTACATCAACAGTTGTAAAACTTCGATTATTGCACAACTGTGTAAACAAATCCTTCTCTGGCTGGTTTGGGTCACTGAGATTTCCACGCAGGTATTCCAAGTCTGTTATTCGATATCCTTCATCACGGCTCAAAATCTAATTTTAAATTATAAATTTTTCTTATGTTTTTATTTAAAAATCGTAATATTTAATTTAAATAAATCAATTATTTTCTACCTTAAACTTCCAGTCACCCCACCAATTGCCATCATCACCAAGTCCGCTACAAGCCTTTGAAACACAAAAGTCGCCTTGAAGTCGAACGCGCATTTCCAAACGACGATTACTTTGCACAAAAGCAGATACTCGATCTAAACCAAGCCAGTGATCTCCATCTGGCAAGTCACCAAATCCATAAGAATATTCATCAAAACTTGCATTCCAGAAAGGCCATTTCCCGCTTGTGCGTCTAAAAAATAATTAAAATTAATTTTGCTGTGATAAAAAAACTTTTGAAGAACAATCCATCCTTGTTCCGACTCCATTTCACAATAAGCATAAAAATCGCCGTAATTGGGAACAGAGAGTTGATTAGCACCAGACCCTTTTCCTTTATTACGAAAATGTTCACAGTCGACAACTTCTCCAGTTGGTGATAAAAACTTAAAAATCAGGTACATTAATGATTAATTCAAAAAATATTAATTATCGCGTCCTACTCCTTTATAACTTTTTTATCAATATTTCCACAAGTTTACAAATTTCATTTTAGGACAGAAGGAAAATATGAAAATTGAAAAAATGTAAGAATAGCCCCATCCAATTAATAATTAACTTACGATTGATTTTTGTGTTGTAGTCGTTGTTGATTCTGTTGAAGTAGTTGTAGTTGTCGACGATGATAATCTTTTTGGAGGTGGATGGGTCCACAGATACGTTTGAAGAGAAATTGGTCGCTGTGTCAATGTAAGTTCTGTCGATGGTGTGGTAGGCATTGAGGTGCTAGACTCGAGAACAGTAGACGGAGAAGCGATCGGAGGATGATGTCCAGTTCGAACATGTTCTGCCTGAAGAAGGCCAGATTCAATTTTAGGTCTTTTGTTTTGAAATAAAACATCATGAAATGTTTCAATTACTTCTTCTCCAACATTATTATGTGTAACATCAGCCAATTCATTTCTTTGATATGCCTCAGTCCAACGTTCTGTCTCTTTGTCTTCATCTGTTATTATGACGCGTCTTACTTCCTGATTTTCTCCATTACTAGCGTAAGCGGAAACGCTGCTGCTTTGACTAAATATTATGAAAAGAGCAATTGTGAGAAGAATGATTGCAAGAAGAGCAATTAGACAAAGGAGAACATATTTTAATCCCCTAAAGAAAAAAATTAATTTTAAAATTAATTCAATAACAAATAGTAAACTCACATCAGCCCTTTGCTTTTTGATTTATTAAAGCGAACAGCAGCTGAAAGAACTGGATCCAATTCGTCTTCAAGATGATCACGTCCAAATAGACGCTCGCTTGTTCCAAAATTCGAGCATCCTACTCTTCCACTTAATCTACTGTCTTCACGTGGCATACTATCCATATTTACTTCGAATCGTTCACAAACGTTATAAGAGCGTGTCATTTTATATACCTTAATAGAAAATTTTAAAAATAATAAAATTTGAAGCAAAGAGATAAATACAAAAAAAATCTAAAGGAAAATTGCAATAGTATAATGCGCGAATAACAAGGGGAGGACAAAAATAAAGTCCGTTATTTGTTCATTCAATGAGAGGGAAAAAACACATGTAGAAATAATACAATAGCAATTAAAAACTGAAAATAGGCTCATTTTTAAAAATAGATAAATCATATTGATAGAAAGGGAAATTAAAATTTGTAAAATTATAAAATAAAATTTATAAGCAACGTTAAAGCCGAAAAAATAAAGAACATCCTAATCCAAATTCAATGAAGCAAAGAACAAAAAATTCAAAGTTTAAAAAATTAAATAATATGTACATAGAATGCCAAACTTGATTGGTTGCGGCTAGTTGAGTACCGACAACTGAGTGCTACCCAGCTTTGATCTACTTTGATAAACTTTTTTATAAGTGGTGAAGTCACCGTGTGACACGAGGGTTTTATGTTTTGAAAAAATTCACAAATTCTTTCTACAGTTGATTTTATGCATTTTTTATTGTCTAAATTTTATAATATTTTTAAAGTAAATTTGTTAACACATATTTTTTAGAGATGCTTTGGGAGAAAGAAATTAAAGCATATCTTCTAAATTTTCAAGTTTTAGTATCTATTTCAGCAATTTTCATTTTTCTTTATGCCAGAAAATTGGTACGAAGTGTTGCTGTATTTTATTTAACTGGAATTTTAATTGGAATTTTTGCATCCTTTTTAATTTTTGGACATTTATTTCAAAAATTTATACCAAAAGTAAGAATTTAATTTTTTACAGCCTAGCTGCGTCTTTACCGGTCGATTTTATATTTGGATTGGACACCCTATGGTTTTTAAATTTTTAGGGGCTTGTATAGTTGTCTCCGCCAATTTTGGTATCATTCGACTGCCGAGCTCTTTCGATTTACTTATAAATTGTCCGAATATAAAATCGCCCGGTGAAGTGCAGTTTAGTCTTTTTTATAATTAAGCAAAAAAATTTTTTTTAGTTTGCCAAATTTCCATTTCTTTTTGGTGGATGGCCGTTGTCTGCTTATATTTATTACTTAACTTGGAGGAATTTTAGCATAATATTTTTAGAATACAGATTTTATGCAATTCTTTATTTGGTAATAAATAAGTTTTTTTAATTTAAATAATTACAAAATATTTAAGGGAATATTTACAATTATTTCCCTTGCTGTTTGCTATAGAATGGGTCCTCCAGAAGATGAACGTTCTTTAAATTTAATGGAATGGACTTTACAAATAATTTCTTTGGCTATAATTTATTTTTTTAATCAGGTATATTTTTGATATTACGTATATTCTTTTATTTTTACTAAATTTTAGGTACAAGAAGTTGCATATGCCTTAATATTTTTTGTAATTTTTATATCCATTTGGAGGAGAAATGCTGACAAAATATTTCAATTTTCTAGAAGAAATTGGAACAAATTAAGGTTTTTAAATTAATTTTTTAATGAAAATTTTTTAATTTAGAGAATTTTTATTTGGCCCACAGCCACGAAAACTTCTCTCCGAAGAGGAATATTTGGAAGAGGTATTTTTATGTTTTAATTTTGTAGGATTTCTTATCTTGATAAAATAAATTCTAACTGGAAACCTATAAAGGAACTATTTTATTCGTTCAAATTTGGGACTTATTTTGTAACTTGTAGACTTTATTTTAAAAATTTATTGTTAATTCTTCCAAATTTTTTGGATTTTTTAGAGTCTTAGAAAAAAATTCATCTTCTCATTAATTTTTTTAAATTTTTAGTCAAGAATTTTTACAAGAATGGAATTGGAAAATTTACGGCAATTTTGTAATTCACAAAATTCAAAGACTAATTGGCAACTTGTTTCACGTCTTAAAAGACCAAACAGGTTTTTCATTTATTAAAAATTATATTTTAAATAAAATTTTACTAGAATGGCGAGTTTTATAACGGGCGATAGTGATCATGTTTCAGCAATGGAATTTAGTTATCATTCAGAAATTTATTGTCAAAATGAAGGGAGTGATGAAGAAAATTCATATTTGGAAGAAGGATTTATTACTGACGATGATTAAATAATTTGGTTTTTTTGATTGTTACCCGTAAAAGGAAGGTAAATTGGGCGAAGGGAGGGGTTGATTCCTTTTTCCACAGGTGCTGGCTAATTTTTCTGTTTTGAAATTAAATAAAACCACAAAATTTGGGGAAGGGAAAACTTAACTCTCATGTCCCTGCTTCCTTTTCGGGAAATGAACACGATTAACAAAAATACGGGGTCGGCATAGTACGTGGGACCCGAAACCTAGATTTGAAATATAACGGTGCACTCTCCCCCTATGGTTTTTCGATGATTATGAGAATATATATAATCCTAGAAAAAAGGTATATTTGAACCAGCTCGGCATAACGAATCGACTGGTATATCGAATCTAGGGTCCCACTCCCACATACTACAGCCGAAATACTCAACAATTACCTATTCCCTTTTAAAACAAACACTTCAATTTATTTTTAAACTTTTTTTCTTTTCACGATCTCGCCTTAATTCTAAAAAACATTTTGACAGGATTCACTCGAATTCGTTTTTTTTTCATTAATTTATTTTGTATACACTCTGTCACAAAAGTATAAGCACCCCCAAAATTTCTGTAAAAATACATGATCCCTAGGCATTTTTTGTTTAATTTTTTTCATACATTAGCAGCGATCCAATACATCAATAAAAATAAAGTTTCAGAAAATTTTATCGATTTAAAAATTTTAAAATTGAATTTTCTCAAAAATCATGTGTCACAAAAGTATAAGCACCCCTTTAAATTTTTAATTTCTACTTATTGTAAAATTCTACAAAAAATACAATAAATATCTCTATCGATATTATTGAAAATAAAAAAAGAATTAGACCGATATCTTATTCCATTGTCGAGATCTCGAAACCCTGAAAATCAACGTAAAACAGGGTTTTTCAACTTCAAAAAATATTTTCTATCCCTTAGGGTTTGTTTAAAATTTTTGTTTTAGGCTCATTCGATAGCCTTTTAAATTTGCTACAAGATAGCAATACTCATATATCTCAGAAAAAATTCACTAGAAATATACAGGGCATTAATCCTCCGGAGCTAATTTTATGTGGCATTTGGACGTTTTTTGTTTTTAAACTAAATAACTTGCTGAAATAATTTTTCTGAGAAATAAAACTTATGCTATCTTGTAGCAAATTTAAAGGGCTTTCGAATGAGCTCAAATTGAAAATTTAAAAGAAACCATAAGGGGTCGAAAAATTTTTTTGAAGTTGGAAAACCCTGTTTTACGTTGATTTTTAGGGTATCGAGATCTCGACAATGGAATGAGATATGGGCCTAATTATTTTTTTATTTTTTATAATATCGATAGAGATGTTTACTGTATTTTTTGTAGAATTTTACAATAAGTATAAATAAAATTTTTACAGGGGTGCTTATACTTTTGTGACACATGATTTTCAAGAAAATTCAATTTTAAAATTTTTAAATCGATAAAATTTTCTGAAACTTTATTTTTATTGATGTATTGGATCGCTGCTAATGTACGAAAAAAATAAAACAAATACTGTGAAGGGATCATGTGTTTTCACAAAAATTTTAGGGGTGCTTATACTTTTGTGACAGAGTGTATAAAAGATTTAAATTTCTCTAGTCTTATTCTACTAAAAGAATTTAATCAAAAAATAAATAATAAAAAATTATCAGAGTTAACGCTAGAATTTCAAAGATATACCACAAAATTATTTTTTAGAATCACCGACCTTTACCGGTGAATATATCAGAAAAATTTTTTTCTCAGACTAGCGATAACTCTGAAACTGTTTATATTAAAAAATAATTATTTTAAAAATCATTATTCCATCTCTTTTTGTAAATCTTGTGTAACTTCTGGTAAAGGCGTTTCTTCTAATGTTTTTAAATCTTCCACTGCTACTGATCTTCTCCTTAAATATTCCACAGCCTGTGCAACGTTATTTGGATCTGTTGGTGATATATGCTCAGATAAAGGAGTGGAAGATGTTTGACTTTCAAATATTCTACTACCTAACCGAAGCCTCATTCCATTATTTAATTCTTTTGGTTCAAACTCTTCTCTAATTATTTGTAGACTTGCTGGTCTTGTCTAAAAATTTTTAAAAAATTAAAATTAATTGGATCTGAGTAAAACTGTTTGTTCTTGTTGCATTCCTTTATTTTCTTCCAATTCACTCGTAGTTTTGTTGTTTTCTTCTAAATAAACTTCATTCGAGTTTATTCCAACAAAATGTCCATTTCCAATCAATTTTCTCGCACCTTCCAAATCTGTATCTTGTATTGAATTTCTACCAAAATTATTTGAAATATTCACAGATTGTTCAGAAGGAAAGACTGAGTTTCGTCTTTTTTCTTTTAATGTATCCAAGTTTGAACGATACATTGGTAAACCACTTTGAGATTTTTGAATGGCAATTCTCAACTAAATAAAAATTGTTTTCTTCTTATAAAATCTTTCCTTATAATTTTTGAATAAAAATCAAAAAATATTCTCTCACATCTCTCAATGCCACAACTCCAACTAAACGTCCTCGATCTTTAATAAAAATAAAATACTGATCTAGTTATTATAATAAATTAACCGGTTACATATGCTCGATTTAAATCCAAAAGTGAAAATAATGAATGTACTTTATAAACTGATGTTCTTCTTACCAACTTGGAGATTAAAATTAAATATTATTTTCAATTTATTTTTTACTTGAAATGGGGCAGGATCAATTAATTTTTCTTCAATTTCTATTTCCTCACATAATTTAGCTAATTCCCATTCTCTACGCTATAAAAATATTTTCATTTTTATTTATCAAAAATTTCCAAAATAATTTATTTACTTCATCATCATGTAAATCATAATCAACAGGTTCTGCCAAATGTTTATTTTGCATCATTCTTAATTTTCTTTTTACTGAACGAACATACTCAGAAATATTTCCTTTAAATTTTTTGATTAACAAAAAAATAATTTCTTAAAAATTTTACTAGATAGAGATAATTGATGGTCAAAAGGCCCCCATTGTGAATGTATAGTTGCCATTTTTAGGTCTGGACAAGAAATTTTTTTCGGAGGGGAAGTACCTGCCTCAGAACTTTCTGCAAAATAACAAGAATTAGAGTTAAATTTATTTTTTCAAACCATCACTATCGCTAATTGTTTTCCAAGGCATTAAAGCAAATGCATTTCTACGAACTGCTCTAACCGAGGGAAATAATTGTCCGGAGCTCAAATTCCGCCTTTTTGTTGAAATTACTGGTTCGACAACAAATCTACTAAAATTATTTTATTTTTAAATAAATTTTAATTAAAAAGATTCACCACCTGCCATTACTATCTTTGTTATCTTCAAAAGCCATATTACTATTTTCCTTTCTTTGTTCAATTACTGGATATATTTGACTACAAATACTCATTTTTTGTTGTTCTTTTTTAACTTTATTTTCTTTAGATTTTTTCCTTTTAGTAGAATCATCATTATAATGCTTTTTCTGTACTAAAGCACCTTCTGACAAAGAACATCTAACCATTCTTTTATTTGGTTTATCTAGTATATTTTTAGTATTCTCTCCATTAGGTGTTCTATTCATGTCATAAGCTCCATGACTAAATACTCTTCTCCGTCCATCTTCTTCATTTTCTTCCTTATCCAAATCTTCTAAAAGCCGTTCTTGTCCATTTAAATTTGTTAAGCCATTTGCTGTACATTCAGAATCTGATTTCTAAATTTGTATAATCCTTGTGTAAAATCTAAAAAGAAAATTAACATTTTCATCCGTTTGAGCCTCTCTAAAATGTTTATCAATTGTTTCAATAGCAATTCGAATTCTCCTTTCAGCCTCTCTTTTTCTTGCTTCTTCACCTATTTGGGCATTTAATATTTCCAAAATTGTCCTACGAGAAATTGATCCTAATAACATTAATGATGCTGAAAATAAATTTAAAAAAATATTTTTTTATTTTTTTTGTTTAAAACCTGGATCATCAACGACAGGAAATGAACGTAATTTTGGCATTTCAATAATTAATTTTCGGATTTCCTCGAATTTAGTTACTCGACAAATATATCGAACCTATAATTAACTAAATTGTTTTAAAGTTAAAAGGAATTAAAAATATTTTTATTTAAAATACATTAGCTTCCATTATATTTTCTGCAGCATAAAGATGAACTCTAAAAGTTTTTTAAATTAAGCAAATGAATGATAATTTTAGTAAAATATATTACTCGGCATTTGAAGGCGGAATGTCCGGCAAATATGGTAAATTTTTGATGCCAATCATTACATCTCAAAATAGTTTAGTATTATTATTAGTTTCTCGATATCTTTATAGGTTTTAATCACGCTTCCTAATTCCCCGAACCCGATTTTATTTAAAAACAAAAATTTCCTTTTCCCGTACACCAATTCATCAAAAATCCTTCATTAAATATTTACCATATATTGATGGTTGTATATAAGCACAAACAGCATTAGCAATAATTACAGCAATCTTTTTTAAATTTATATTAAATAATCCAATTTTTAAAAACCATTAAAGGTATTATATAAATTAATTGTCCAGTTATTTCACAACAAATCATTGCAACAGAAACAGAATGAGTTATTGCACCAGTTAATGATGCTGCTCCAACAACAGCATATATTCCAGGAAATATTGGCTTAGAAGGATATTTGAATATTTAAAATTAAAAAAAATACTTGATCTGTCCCTCCAGGTATTCCATCTGGGAAAATACTCGAAATTATTTCACCAATTAATCTATTAAATTAATAATTAATTGGAAATTATTTGATAATTCTTTCCGGTTATGAAAATGAAATTGTTAATTATTACTTGACTTTCCCAGAAAAAAGGAAAGTATTTATAGGTTTCAAAACTCAAATGGGTTGAATTGACATATATCTAAATGTCAAATATATTGCCAGAGAAGAGAAACTTACACTGTGCTCTCTGACTTAATTTTAAAGAAATTTTTAATTAAACTTAAAGATTAAAATTGGAAGTGATTTATAATTTAAATAAAAAATTTGAAAGCTGGTATCTTAATAATTTATAAAATTATTTTCGGGGAACAGTTTGAACTGTTTCTATTGATATATCGAATTAATGAGGAAAGCTACGAGAAGTTGGTGAATTAAAAGATACTTTGTTGAAATTATGAATTACAGATTGGGGATTTTTTGTGTTCATAACCGAAAAGAAATAATTTAATTTACCTTCCAAAAGCAGCCCCAACAACAAATAAAGGCATAAACATTCCACAAGGAATTGGCATTGTATTGCATAAGGCGGATAATAACAACTGTTAATTTAAAAGATTTTTTTAAATGCTCTATAACTCGTTAAGTAATTGTTTAATAAAAAAAACATACAAATGTAAAAGCAAACAAAGTTAGCACCAAAAATACATTATATGGACTAACAAATAATACAAAATATTATCAATCAACCAATCAAAACATACCCGTATCCCTCATGATTACTCCAAGAACCGAGTCTGAAAATTAAATAATTTTTTAAACAAAAAAATTATTTTACAATTCAGAATGGCAACCATGAGGAGAATATATTGGATGGCGAAGACCTTTAGACCATGTACAATTTGAAAAGAAATCAATTACTGTACGAGTGAATTTATACTTTTTTAAAATTATTTTTAAATAAAAATTATTTTTAAAAAATTACTCTTCCAGAAAGAAAACGTCCATAACCTCTTGGATATGTTACCTTTAAATTAAAGATATATTTATATCAAAATATGTAAAACTTACAGTTGCTACTAGAAAAGCAATAATTGCTGGATATATTAACCAACTTAAAAATACATAAAAATTAATGTTGATAATTAAATATGGAATTGAATTTAGGTATATGTTTTTTTAATTAAAAATACTAAATTGGATGTTTTAATTAGTAGCTTAAACTTTAAAGAGTATATTTAAAGAGATTACTTTTTACGTATTTGTTCTTTCACAAAAGAATTTTGTCTTAGAAAAATCACAAAACTTCTATAAAAAACAATAAAACCAGCACCAATAAAACCACAAAGTAATCTAATATAAATAAATAATTTTTTGAATAAATACAAAATGTAATTTACCCAATAAGGGCAAAAAAAGGTAATTCTTCTGGTTCAAAAGCATCTTCCGGGAAATGTGTTTGATAAAAGGCAACAAGTGTAACTTTAGAAATAAATATTTTCCCTCCAAAAACCTTCAGTATTTTACCTTCAGTTTCAAAAGCAACAACTCTAAGTAACCTATAAAAAATAATTTTTTTGAATAAAAACATCTACTTAAATATTTACCTAAAAACAGTAGCACCACAAGCTGCAGCAAAGAAACCTCGCCAATAATTACGAACAGAAAAATGCATTGTTGTTGTCTAACAAAAAAATAAAATTAGGTAAATTGGAAGATATGGAAGATTTAAATTCTTTGTAAATTCTTTTAAAAATATATTCAAATTTAAATTTTAAATTGAGACATACTTCAATTGAAAATAAAACACCTAAAATAAAAATTAAATATTTTCTTCTTCTCTAAAAACTACTAACCTCCAATAGGAGCACTAAAACAACAAGCAACCCCCGTAGCACAAGCAGCTGCTAACATTTCAGATTTTCTACATTCATTTCCATAAGCCCCTTCAAATCTAGCAGCAACATTACTTAATAAATTGGCTGTACTAGCAGCTACATGAACAAATGGACCCTAATTTTTTGTTTAAATTTAAAATCCAATTTCAAATTTAAATTTTTATTTAACCATTTTCCCAATAGGAATTCCAGAACCAAGTGAAAATGTTAATCCAACAATTTTTGAAATTAAAGTTCTAGCAGCTAAATAATCCTTTTAAAAATTATTTTTATTTTAATTAATTTATTCTTTTTTACTTTTAAAACAACCCCACGAAGTGAACATTTCATTTCAGGAATTCCAGAACCTTTAAATAATCAAAAAAATATTTAATTATTTTTAAAAAATAACCAATAGCTTGTGGGGCAACATAATGAACAAAAATAGCAGAACAAATAACAAGTAATTCTGTATATCCTAACCAAGAAAGGTAAGTACAAAAATAATCAAAATAATTATTTCCTGTATTTCCACTTATTGTCATTAAAACTAATTGAACTTGAAGAATATTATTTTATATAAAATTAACAAAAAAATAATAATTTTTACATGTTTGTAAATATTCAACAACACCGTCAATAAACATTGAGGTAAGTGCCTTTAATTAAAAATAAAATACATATAATATATAATTTTATTTTTTAAGAAAATATTTAATAATTTTTGTTGGAATTATCTGTTTAAATTAAGATAATAATTATTTAAATATTTTACCATTCCAATCCCAAGAATTGCTAAAAACAACCAGTCAATTAACTTAAAAATATTTATTTTATTTTATTAATATAAATATAAAAAAATTTAAATTCAGAATTATCTACCTACATATATAATTTATTTACCTACCATAAGTCGAAGATTTTTCCATGAGAGAGCTTTAATTAAATAAATATTTTTTTCCACCTAAATATTTAATTTAATAACCTTTTCTTGTTTTTTTAACCATTTCTTTCAAAGTTATTCCAAATTTTGTTTGATTAAAACTTTTATTAAAATCTTCGTTTAACCAAATTTCTGGAGTATCCAATTCTTTAAATCGAACACTTTTTTTGCTCGTTGTTGATTGTATACTTATTTTTTGTTCATTTTCTTTTTGTCCTCCTCCTCCATTATCAAATGATTGGGGAACTGCCAAAGTAGTTAATATTGAAGGGGCATTTTCTTCTGCCATTTGTTCGGCCCCACTCGGCTCTAACCGGTAACTACCCAACTACAAAAAAATTTAAATTTAAGAAAAATAATTATTAAAAAATAAATAGAAGATGATGAACTTGTTTATTTTATTCGCGACCTAATATTTTTTTAATTTCAATTCCGATAATTTGTAATGATTTGAAATTGTGTTTTATTGTTGGCCCTTTTTATTTTTAAAATTTCAAAGATGTTTTTGTATTGTAATTTGCTTTTTTTGCTTTTTATTTTATTAATAATTAAAAAATATAAATAATTTTATGACTCATAGAATTGAAAAAAAATAAAAAAATATTTATTTATTTAATTAGATTACCCTAACAATTACTATTAAATTTTAGATTATATCCTTAGCTTGTGTTCTGACTTTCAGAGGTTTATTATATTAAAAATATTAATCAAATTTTGTATATACTAACAAAAAACCCTGATTTATCAGTTCAATCTCTAGTTTTATAAATTCTAAATTCTTAAAATAATTACCACAGCATGTTCATAGCTATATTGCTGATCTAATTGATCAAATTCTTTTCTCAAAACATCACTTGGACTTGAACAAGCCCTCTTTGCTGCTGATAAAACCTTTTCTGTCATTAATTGTTTATAATCAAAATTTTTAGAAAAAGAGAAAGATTTTTTGTTGTTAATTATTTTTTTATTTTGTTTTTTAAAATAAATAAAATTTTCTGAATTTTTATAAGAATTAATTCGTTCTATGAAAGTTAAGGAAAATGTCATTTTTTTCGAATTTTCGTTTTTAGATTTTTTATTTAAATTTAAAAGAAAACGATATAAAAATATAAAAAAAATTTTTTTGGAGTTTATTCAGATAGAAAAACGTTAAAGAGAAAATTTTGATTAGAACCTTTTTCACAATAATGTTGACAAGAATAAATAAATAAACACAAAACTTTCCAACAGATGGTGGCAAGAAGAAAATTAAAATAAAAGATTTGCATTTATGAATTGAGGAAGAATTAAAAAAAAGAATTTTTATATGTAGTGAGTGATTTATGTTTGATATAAACGTGAAAAGGGGGGAGAAAATTAATAAATCTAAGAATTGATAGGGGGAATTTCGAGTATATTTATAATCAGTTCCAAATGCACTCAAAATGTTGACAGAAAATATAAAAATAAAAACTTTAAAATTTTATTTAACCAGTTCCAGTTCTTGTAGGTACTTTTAGGTACAAGTTCAAATGGCTTTTTGCTGCTCCTTCCTTAAAAGAAAATAAAAGTTCCTCTTCCCTTTTATTCTTGGGAATTTTAACGATTTGCAAAGTTTTAACTTTAAATAGATTTACCTAAATCTGAGAGTTAATTGTTTGTTGGTGAATACTTAATCCATTCTCCATTTAATGAATTATAAGACTTCGAATTTTGGAAATTCATTAAATTGACATAGGTATTAAACTAGACTTCTCACTTCCTTCTAATTAACATTTCAATTTACTTTTCCATCCTCACAGTTATTTTAATTTGATTTGGTTCAGAACAATTATTTATAAACTTTAAGGAAATAAATAGATTATTAAAAAAAAATAATATTTAAATTTAAAGACCACCCAATTATGAAAGCCAATTGATTAAAAACGCAGACTCAATATTTTTTAATAATTAATTTGGCAATTAATTAATAAATATTTCTTAATTAAATAAAAAATATTTATTAAAATAAATGAAATTATTTAATTCCCATAATTCTATTATTTTTATTTTAAGTTTTTGTTTTATTATTTTAATTAATGTTCAATCAAAAGGTTTTAAAAATAAAAATATATATTTTAATTGAAAGCAATTCACAATTAATTAGCTTTTTGAAATAAATTTCAAAAAGAATTTTTATAAATAATTTAGTTGTTTATTAATTCTTAAAAATTGAAATTTTGTTCGAAAATAAGTTAAACCTACTTAATTCCCAATCAAAACATTCTCTTATTTAAAAATTAATTTTCAGTTTCTGAAGAATATTATCAATACTCCAATCAAAATATTAAAAAAAGAGAAAAACGTTTCATTGATTTACTTGTTGGGGCTATATTGTTTGGTGGAGGTTTAGCTTTAGGAAAACATTTAAAAAGTTTTATTTTCTTTTTTTTTAATTAATTTAATTAATTTAGAAAAACAAAAAAATAAATATTTAAATAAATATAAATATTCAAAATATATTTTAAAAAATAAAAGAAAATATTTAAAAAATAGTTTAAATAAAAATAAAAGGATTAATAAAAGAATAATAAAAAAAGAAGAATTAAATATTAAAAATAAAAAAGAAAAATTAAATAAAAATCAAAATTCTTCTAATAATTCAAAAATTGAAGAAGAGAAAGAAGAGAAAGAAACAAATTCATTAAATAATACAGCAATAAATGGATTAAATAAATTAAATCTAAATCCTTATATGAAACCTGGAATTAAAAAATTTGGCCCAACAGTTGTTAAAAAAGTTGTACCTGGAATGACTGCAACTTTAGGTGGAGCACTTGGACCTGCTGGAGTTATTGCTGGGGGATATGCTGGGTAAAGATTTTTTAAAGATTAAAAGAAACTTAGAATTTTAATATTTTCCTTATTTTTGACCAAGCTTTATTAACAACAAATAACTAAAAGAGTAATTTAAATATCAGAATTCCCTCAATAAAAAATTATTTTTAATTTAATTTTTAAATAATTTTAAGTAATATGGCTGCCGATTATTTGAATGAAAATTACCTTCAATAATTTGAAGAATTTACAAATTTTAAATTAAAAATAATACCTTATATTTATTTTATTTAAATAATTTTTAGAACTTTTTTAAATTATTTTAAATAATTCAATTTACAAATATATTTTTAAAACAAATTACATAATACAAAAAAATATTTTTTAATCAAAACTGTTGCGAAATGCCTAAATATTTTCTTATGTTTTTAATTAGTCTGAACCGGCAAATTTTTACATATTCCAATTTCCAACCAAAAATAAAGCTTCTGATGTTATAAAATTTCGGAAATTATAATTATTTTCGCAAAAGCTCTGATCTTTAAACATTAACTCCTTCTTTTTATCGCCTTTTTCTCGTATTGGGTCTTTGTGTTGATAAATTATCAGAAGGTACACAAGTAAATGTATTATTGACAGAAGCAGGTGAAAAAGTTGGACAACAAGAAGTTCTAGGGTAAAGACAGACTTGGGTATTACATACTTCTTTCTCAAATGCCGTTCTTTAAAATATAAAAAAACATTAAAAATTATTTTTAAAAACCCAGTGCAATTGCAAGTTGGGGCTGTAAGACAGCTACGAAAACGTTGTCTAGTCCCACAACTGCCACAACTGTCGTTGCAGTCGGACTGAAATTTTTTTTATAAAAAAATAACTGTTCACAAAACAAACCCATTTCATCCAACTATTCCAAGTACCACAAGGAACGGCCGTAGACACAAGTGTTGTATTTGTTATTACTATAAAGCTTATTGTTGTTGGTAAGGACCTGATGGTAGTATTAGAGGTTGTTGGTGGTATTGTTGTTGTTGTTATGGTTGTTGGTACAGGAGTTGTAGTAGTAGTTGGGGGTAGTGGTAATGTTGTATTTGACAAAGCTGTGATTGTAGGTACTAAAGGTGTTGTTAACGTTGTGGTAGTTGGTAAGCGTGTTGTTGTTGGTAATGGAGTGGTTGTTGGGAGAGATGTCGGTGTTGTTGTTGGAGGAGGGGTTGTAGGAGGAGGTGTTGTTGGTGGAGGGGTTGAGGGAGGAGGTGTTGTTGGTGGAGGGGTTGAGGGAGGTGTGGTTGGTTGTGTCGTTCTTGTTGTAGTTGAAGTTGCGGTTGTTTGTGTTGTAGGAGGGACTGTCGGAGGAGGAGTTGTTGGTGGAAGAGTTGTTGGTGGAGGGGTTGTTGGTGGAGGGGATGTTGGTGGAAGGGTTGTTGGTGGAAGGGTTGTTGGTGGTGGAGTTGTTGGTGGAGGGGTTGTTGGTGGAGGGGATGTTGGTGGAAAGGTTGTTGGTGGTGGAGTTGTTGGTGGAAGGGTTGTTGGTGGAAGGGTTGTTGGTGGAGGGGTTGTCGGGGGAAGGTTTGTTGGTGGAGGGGCTGTCGGGGCAGGAGTTGTTGGTGATAATGAAGTTGTCGTTGTAGAAGTATTACACGCTGATACTTGTGAATAGGGTCCACTTAAAACAGAACAGTTAAACTAATCAAAAGAAACAAATTAAAAAATGCTTACGGGCATTCAAATATAGATTGCGCATCATTACAGCCAATAGGCTGAGCCATACATGTTCGTATCCGACGCTGAATGCTAACATTAATTGGTATTGCAGTAATACATTGCCCCCAATCTCCCCATTGTCCCCACTCTCCAATACTTAGGCATGAATTATTTGATTGTGGTAATACAAAAGGAAAGATAAAAAATAAATAAATTAATAAAAGGCCAATATTAATTTGAAATTTATTAGTTAAAATAAATAAGTGATTTTGATATATCCAACATTGCTTCATTTGATCCTAAAAAATCTAAAAAATTAAAGATTAAAAAATTCTATCATAAATTTATTGAAATAATTATTAAGGATTTAATGTTTATTTTAAGATTAAAAATCCATCATTTTGCTTTGGTCAGGAGGTCGAGGTGAATGGTGTTTATTACCTTCCCAAAATCTTAATTGAATAAGGATCGATTAAATTTAAAAAAATTAAAAGAATAAAAATATTTGGCCAAATAAGGCAACAAAAACCACATTTACTAACAAAGCTTTATCTACCTAAATACTAACAAATAAATAAAGCTTTAGTAAGCAAAACAAACGTTTGTTCAGAAACGTGGTAAAGCATCCACGTCTTTACTTAATCCTCCTCTCTACAAAAATTATATTTTTTAAAAATAAAATTTAAATTTAAAATTGATTTTTAATTTAATCGATTGAGAACAATCTACGTGTTTAAATGGAAGAATTAAAAACAAAAATTTAAAATCTCAAAGGGGCACCACAACTACTCATCACTCACAAAACTACCCAATTAGTCTCTAAAAAAGATAATCCTCCTTTTAGGCACAGTTTTTAACTAAACAAATGAAAGTACATTTAAAATTCAGAAATATTTTCACAATGTATTTTGATATCGTTTCTCTCTCCTTTTAAGAATGGAAAGGAATAATTTAAAAATGAGATTTGTATTTAAATAATAAATTAAATAAAAATATTTTTAAAAGATATAAATGAAAATTTAAAATTTTTTATTTTCCAATTAACTTCTTTGTTTATTTTAGCTGACTGTAATTCTCTATCTAAAAAATCTGTAAAATTAAATAACAAAAAATTAAATAATTATTATTTTTACCATTTTAATCATTCAATGGCCACAAAACAGAGGGCAAAATAAATAAATAAATTTATTTATTACAACATTTAAATAATTGTTGATTGTCAAAAATTTTATTTTAATGATTTATATTTTGGAGTTAATCTAATAATAATTAAAATATTTTAAAAACAAGTTTATATTTATTTATTAAAAAATAAAAATATGTAGGTATTATTAAATAGTAATGTTAAATTAACCAAAAAACAAAATTTAAAAAAACAAAATTAAAACACCCGATTTAAATGCCAAATTATTCATTTAATAATAATTTTTATTATTTTTAATTTAAATTAAAATTCAATGTCTACCTAATTAAGCATTATTTCTATACGTCAATCTCCAAAATATTTAAGTAATAAATTAATTTTTAAGGAATGCCAAAAATTAATAAATAAGAAAAAAAAACTTTTTAAAAAAGATTTTGTTCTGTGTTTGAGAAAGAGCAAAGAAATAATGGCTGTGAATTGGTCAGAAACAACAAGGAAGTTGTTTTTAGATGTGACGTTGCTGTTATATATTTAATTTTTGCAAAAAAAAAAGTTTTTTTGTTTATTATTATTATTATTGTAGTGCATTGAGTACTAAATAAATAAATAAATAAATATAAATTTAGCAATTGGCCGAATTGAAGAATTACGTATGTTGAGATGCCCCACGGGGAAGAATATTTTTGTATAATATTAACGTCACTGTCACAACTTCTTCAAAACTATTTTTGCCACGCCCCAAGCAACTCAATTTTAAATAAAAATTCTTTGACACCTTTCTTCTACAACAAATAACACCTTTCTTTAATACATTAATTTCTTCCCTTTCCCTCCCTTTTCTTCTTGTTTGTGTTTCTTTTTTTATCTTTTACTAATTTCTTTAAAAACAACGCCCACGCCCAAATTCTCTCAATTAATATTTTTATTTAATAATATTTATTTATTTATAACAAGTCAAAAATCTACTAAATTTAATAATTCTCTTTCTTTTAAAGTTTTTAACTTTTTTAAATAAATGCCTGAGGGGTTTTGAGTAATTTAAAAATAAAAAGGTTAATGCGCGAGTATATAAAAGTGACAAATTATTGGGATATTTAGCTTAGATTGTTGTTTTTTAAATAAATTTTTATTTTGAGCTCGAAAAATTAAAAAATAAACTGCTCCACATAAGTCCAGCCCTTTTTTCTAGTTTTTTTCACTTCCAATGATCCAAATTTTTTGAAAAAAAACTTCTGTGGAGCAGTGTAAATATCAGCAATTGACATATATTTTGACAATAATTTCTAAATAAATAATCAAAAAAATATTTTTTTAAGTTTTTAGAAGAATTAGCAACATTTAAAACAATTTATTTATGCAAAATTACTCTTTGCTTTTTAAAATATTATAAATTAGCATTGTAAACTTCCAACTCCCCTCCCCTCTCCCTAACAATCCCTCCTACTTCACACCTAATAAAGCATTGTTTATTTTATTTACAAATTAATTGTTTGTTTTTAATAATCAAATAATCAAAACCGCCCACACATTTCTCAACTTTTAAATTTAAAAAAAAGTTGGAAGACAATTGAATAATAAAAATAAACTAATTAACCATTATTTTACATTAATTACCTAAATTTAATTTTACAGTTTTATTTGTTACTATATAATTAATTAATTATTTAAATTTTGCACGATGATCATTGGTTAATTTATTTTAATTTTTAAATTTAAAGTTTATTTTTTGTTTTGTACCGCCTTTATTTTTGCAATTTTGTTATTAATTTTATTTTTTATCTAAAATAATTTTCGTAAAACTCGATCTCTGATTACGTCTTTAAATTTTATTAATATATAAAGAGGGAATAAATAGTATATAATTGAACATTTATTTATTTAAAATAGTATAGTATTTTATTTAAATTTAAATTTAAATTATACTGTAGTTAAGTTGTTTTTATTTTTTTTTATTAACTTTTAATTTTCTTATACAATACTCATACCTTGCCCATAATTTAAATTTAGAATATTTATATCAGAAAATATCTAGAGAAGGACTTAGACGGGATTTCTGTCCCCAAAATATATTTTTTTTTCATTTTCTCTCCAGATTTTTAAATTTATTTTAAATTTCTTCTTTTTAGCAATATTACATACTCCTTCCAATATATCTGTCCCAAAATATTTGTTACATAAAATATCAGTTTACTGAATAATTTTTCTTTTAGTGATCCAGTAATTGTTTGTATTAAAGCCATTTTTGTAATTAGACTTTTAATAAATTTACTCATTAAAATAATTTTAATTTCAAAAAATTATTAATTTTCAAAACACAAAAAAATATAATTTAAAAAATCAATTTAACCAAAAACTTTTTTAAAATAAATAAATTTAATTTAATTTATAATAAATAAATCTATTTAAATATTTATTTCCCTGGCAATAAATTAATTTTTTACTTTAATTTTTTAACAAAATATTACGTCTACACAACTAACTTAGTAATTAATTGAATATTTCTCTCTCTAAAAATTTCTAAAAAAATCTCTTTTTTTTTCATTTTCCCCTCCCAAAAATATATTTAATTACTCTTTTTTTACTTTCTTCCGCGTTCCACGTTAGGGGGATCATGATTCAGTTAAACACAATTTTTAGTGTGTAAAATTTTTGAGTTTTTTAATGTCCAAAATTAATATTTAAAAAAATTAATTAATTAATTTTTTATTTTATTTTTTAAATTAAATTTTTAGTTTTTACGAAAAATTAAATACCTAATTATTATTCATCTACATAGTTTTTATATTAAAAGCTTCCAATTTCGTTTTTGCTTGTATTCAGAATATAATTACGAATTCTGTAAATAACTAGAGACCGGACTGAAGTTTCGACTGAGATACGAGATCGGTATCTCGAAAGATATTGATCTCGTTAATTTCGATTTTTCAAGATCTTGTCTAGGCCCGATCTTTAATAATACATTTTATAAAGATACCACTTTCAAATAAAAATATTTCTTTCAATTCTTCTTTTTAAAATTATTTTTTAGTTTATTTTAATTTTTACTTTTTCTAAA